GCAGAGCATTTCCCGTGGATCCCATCCAGTGCAGAGCATTTCCCGTGGATCCCCCCATTGCAGACCATTTCCCGTGGATCCCACCCGGTGGATGTGGCTACTGGGCGTTCTGTGTTTGGGACTTTGCAGCCAAACAGAGAGCTATGAGTTAGAGAATTGATGCCTTACCCAAGCATCTCACGGAAGTCTGTCCTTCTCCATTTTCAGAATTGATAGCAATTCAGTTATCTCCTAATAAGAACCRATTGCTTCTTCTGCCTCAGGAATGATGGAGCACAGTAGGAAGCCTGCTTTCATCATTTAGTGCGTTGAATATTAGTGGAGTTTCCAGCACATCTGCTGTTCAGACGTTCCTTGGTCGGAAGCAGAGATGAACAAATTCCAGAGTTACAACCTAATTCTTTCAATTCTCAAATCAGTGGAGTTTCGTGGGTTAGTATCCAGTGGGGCAGTTCAAAACCTCCATGCTCTAATTACTCATTTTGCTTATGGTCTAATTTTTCAGTTCTCTCTTTTTCTTCACTACCCTTTTAAGTCCTCTGTTATTAGCCAAGTAAAAAACATTCTTTCTTGTAGACTTTAGTTGCTGGTAGATATGGAAATGTTCTGAACTTATTTAACCAGCTTTAKTTGAAATATGGTAATGCATTGACAAAAGTGGTGTACTGAATACTGAAACAATTATTTTACTCAAATCAAATGAAATGAAACCAAAACCTCATGTTATCCTCCTGAGATCCTGTTCTCATTGAAATCTATGTCAAAACTCCATTTACATTTAAGACTGTGAGGCTGAAGCTGATTTCTGCCTGTGTTTGTGCAGCATACATTAAAGTCACCCAGCCTGAATCCCATCTTCAGCAGGGGTCCACCACCAATGGCAATGATTCTATTCCTGAAGTCAGTCTGGTTTGCATTTGGGGTCTAGGGTCACCCTGCTCACACCCAGGAGGCTCCCAGCATCTTTCCAGTTTGCCCAGCCCAACAGACTCCTGGCACTCCCCTCTAGCTCCAGTCTCTGGTTCCCATAACAGTTAGCATTCCATTTTTGTTACAGAGCAAGAGTAACTGTATGGATGTACAGACAGTTTCAGACTGCTTTAGACAAAAGAGAAAAACATTCCAAACTGTATTTAACAAGAAATATGTTATGGCATTTTATTTATGACATTTGATTGTTTGAAAAGAAGCAGARTGCTTGGAAAATAACAAAAACATAGGAAAAATGATCTTGACCTGATTGATCAGACAAACTGGTTATAATGGTCATCCGGGGTGAATACTCTGTCAGTACTTTCTATCATTTGTCAGTCTAGGCTAACAGGTCTAGGCTAACTTCAGGGCAAGGARTTGCTTTGTCACATAGAGAAGTCTAAGAGCAGTGTGAAGTCCTTTCTCAGGGCTGTTGATGCACAGAAAATGGAAAAAGATTCAGCAAAGCTGTTTTTTAAAATGATCTCATAAAATGCAGTGTAATCCTTTCTGTCATCTAATTTATTTTATTGTTACAACTATGAGGACTGGAAAGAGTTATARTTTTCTATCTGTCTAAAAGGAAAGTTACTTCAAAGTGTACTGAGGCTGAACATCATTGTAATTAATTTGTTGTCATTATCCTTAAAGTAGAACTGAAATCATATAATGGTTTTAGAGGCTTAGCTTTCTATCCAGAGTAACAATTTGCTTATTGTGTTTTAGTGTCCCTAAAACAGTTATGAAGTTCAGGCTGCATACAATCTTTTCTTATTATTATATTTATAGTCCTATTTTTTAGAATTTAGGTTTTACCTCCTGCATGTTTTAAAGAAACACAAGTCAACAAATCAATTTTCTTTTCTTAGCTTRGAAGACCTATCCATTGCAGAATCCTAGGATGAGACAAGGATGTGCTTTGTTAGACTGCTCCCAAGTGAATCTAMATGTGCCACCAGCTCTTTCAGCTTGGTTGGAAGTTGAACTTGATGCCATAGTGAAGAATCCACTGTCTTGGTTTCAGCTCTGCCTCTCTGAGAAAAGCAGGAAGCTGTCACTAACTCTCTAATTCCATTAGTAAGAAATCTGCATGTAAAGTAAATKATTGTACATAGGGACATGCCATATAATATACCATCAAGGCCTGAGTTTTCAGAAATACCCATTAACCGTGGGGTAGATCCCCATAAATGCCAAGATTGATTTAGATAGTTGTCTCTGCTGGATAAGGGTTTTTATCTGCTTCAGTTTTTGAAAAGTCATTTGAGGCAAGAACCTAAATTGAAGAAAAGTGGCAGCTTGCATTTGCTATTACAGGCACTATTGCTTTTTTTCGCATTTTTTAGAATTGGATCAGGAGCTGTCTGAGTTTAAGCAAACAAAATTAGTGAGTGTCTTATCAATACTGGAGCCTTTAACCAATTATACTGTTCCTTATCAGTAAAATTATGTTGGACTTCTGTTATTATTCTGGGTAATATTTCTAGGAAGGAGAAAAAAAAAAAAAGGGAGTGCAAGCAAAAAATTCTGTCAATGTGTGGTGTATGAGTCTGTTATCCTTTCCATGGAAGGAATTATCTAATGCCTTCCTGACAGATGGTGCATGTCCACTGCTACCAGTACATGTACAGTTAATGGAGAAGGAAATGTGCAGCCCACACAAGCTGGCAGCTGTAACTTGTTTTCTCCTGGAAGTCAACCCTGCCATCAGCCTGGGGGCAGGGGRAAGGAAACCAAAACCCAACCAAAAAGGGAAAAAAGGTTTTTGTCACACCTGGAGGTTCATCCTTTGAAAGCCACACAGATCTCAGCTGCTTCCTGATCTGCTAGAGATAAGATCAAGGTGTTCCCAAGGGTGTTGAAGTTCAGGYTTTTAATGTTCAAATCACTTGAATGTTAAGATGAAAAGTGCTGCAGAAATAGCTACCAAGTTCTAGGCAGTGCAATCTAAGTATAATTTGCTGTATGTTATGGGAAGGGACAGATGAATGCACATAACATTTTGTGCTATCCTCAGCCTTTCATTTTCTATCATTGCTATTTTTCTCATTCCAGGTAGTTTCAAACCACGGAAAGAAACCAAGTAACTCAGTTTTACTAATCAGAGATTAAGTCCCTGCTAATAGTAGCCAGAGCTTCTTGTGATATTTTTTGAAAACACAAATGTCAAAAGTGCAGTTCTGGATAAATTTGCCTGTAAACATGCTTTCCCAACACCATCTTCTATGATGTGAGGTCTTCATTTCAATTTCTAATCTAACACCTGCTCCTTGAGATGGAAGCTGCTTGTGCTTTTAATTGCTGTGTGCTGCCTGTGCAAGCCTTTGATGCACTCAGGAAGGGGAAAGGAGCTACAGGAGAAGAACTCAAGGTGATGTTCTGTAGTCAAAGGAAGCCCATCCAACCACAGTTGCTCAAATGTTAGTACCAGTGATGATGTAACCACATGGAAAATGGATAAACAGCTGGCAGCTCAYCCTGTCTATGCAAGGAGTTGTCAGCTGGCTCAGCCTGCTGTTCAGTGGGCTTCTGCCTGTTGTAAAAGTGTTCTGATGTCTGTGAGGATGCTGTAATAAAGCAGGATCTAAGGAACACCCTCTGTCACAAATTCAGACTCTTATGTTATCTGTTTGTGCCTCAACTCAGCTCATTCTAAACTGCTTTGATAAGCACAGGTTGTTTTGGTTTTAATTTTCAGTTTGAATATGTCTTTGTAGTCAAAATGTGATAAAGAATGGTCTGATATAGTGTAATACCTTTGATACCCTGGGAAATGGGTTAGAGTGCACCTGTAGGAAATTTGCAGCCATACCAAGGAAAACAGAGTTGGAGGCTGTTTCTCCAACAAGCTGGAGGAATTGACCAAGACAAACTTAATAAAATTGTACTGAGGGAAATGAAAAGGGCCTGTGTTAGCAGCACCTGGAATCCCAGTGAGCAGCTAAGTGAATGTGAGTCAGCAGAGTGCCCTTGCAGTGTTGAAAGGGAAATGTTTGTTCCCTCTGATTGGCACTCAGGAGTTTGCATSTGGAGCCCTGTCTTTATTTTGGGAGGCCCTTAGTACAGGATTGAGAAATATGTCAGTGGGGGCCCTCAGGATGAGGATGGAAGCCCCAGATATGAAGGTGGGCTGGAAGAGCTTCTTCAGCCTGGGGAGAAGGGGGCTAAGTAAGAATTAAGTTGCAGTCTTCCACTGTGTATGGGAGTGTTACAGGAGAGATGGACCCAGATTGTTCTCATAAGTGCAGAAGGAAGAAACAGCGCAGCAAGAGAGATTCCACAGGGACATAATGAAAAAAGTACTCCTTGGGGATGATGGAGTACTGTAAWAACTTACCCTGAGGACTGAAAACACTGTCTTGGGAGGTTTTGAGCATTCAGCTGGGCAAGGCTCTGGGTCACTTGATCCAACTTCTAGGCTGGATCTCCTTTGATCCTATTCTCCTTTGAATAGGAGGTCAGACTAGGTGAGCTTCCCAAGTTGCTCCAACTTATTTTTTGCTATGACTCTGTAAGTATAGGGAAGCTGATGGATGGTCACTCCAAGGGAGAGGTGACAGTATGACCTGGGGGGTCTCTAAAGGTGCTACTATCAGCAGGTTACTGGTATAACTGGTGTATATTTTGTTATTAACTATCATGGGGTTTGCTGTTCCCATGAGCAGTGCAGAGTATTGCTRATATGTGAGAGTGCTCACATGGGCATCAGGTTGCAGGCCCACTTGCACAAACAGGTTTTTGTTTATCTTTTCTGTCCATATCTCATTATTTGTTTTAATTTCTTTTTCAACTTACTTTTTTCCTTGCAAGAGAAAGAGATGGTGCAGACATCTGCTAAATAACAAAGATTCTGGAATGGAGAGACAATGCTGAAGTAAAAGTACCACAAAGTGGCCCACAGCCTTCCTCTGAGTTTAGGAGTAGAATTGGCTACAGGGAACTTCTTTTCTGTAGTTGTCACCTGGCAGTCACTTGCTAAGTTTTTGTGTAAACTGTTACATTTTTAATCCAAATATGCTCTTTCCCAGGTTGCTGTGACAGTGCTTTGAGGATGTGTAGTTTACAGAAGTAGTCAACTCTTCACCCAGCAGTTGCCAGTGACTTCCAGAGTGCTCATTCTCATGGTAGGTAACCAGCACTGAGCAATATTCTGTCTGTGCTTTGTTTTGGGGAGGGAAGATAAAGAATCAAGAACTGTTAAGTGCAAAATGAACCCTAGGCTGGTTTTTCAGTTAAACACGTGACTCTTGAAATTTTCTTAATTGTGTCATAAAGGTCAAAGGACATCAAATCAATATGCCTTTTTTACAGAAAATATTCTCTTAAAACAAAACACTCTTTTAAAACATCCCATTCAAAAAAGTGCTCAATTTTTTTGTTTTACAATCCATTGCCYATGAAAGAAACTTGTGTTTAGTTAACTCTTCAGTCTAAATGCAAAGTGAAGGCCTAATTCTACATGTCTTGTRCATGTAGTTCTTTGCATAGGTCTAAGCCTATCTTACCCCGGCCTGTCAGTGTAAATAAAGTTCATTGGATTATGGACTGCTGCTTTCCATATTTAGTTTGACTACCAGAGTGAGTGGAAACATTTCAGCTGGAATGTGGACTAAGATCAAAGCTTTAAATGTACCACTTTTTGWTTTAAACTAACGTCAAACATCTCTGGTGTGATGTCATAGAATTCAGCTCTATGAACAGCAAGAGCAGGGAGTTTCTCTATGGGCTAAAACAGCTACAGTTGTCTCTAATCAAACTATTCACTTTTTAAAACACATTGCAGTAGGGCCTTTGGGACATGGAACTGTCCATGGCTGCAAATGTTAAAGTCCTGTGGTGTGGTGTCTATAAGATGTACAGCTACTTAGGTCCGAGTGTGTTAACTTTTGTGTACTTTGAAATGGATGGATCCTGCATTTCCCAGAGAGCAGGCTGTCCAGGACCTTGGTGATCTTGCAGATAGAGTGTGCCCGCATTCTAGTTGCTCTTTTATGGGAATATATGCTGCTTGTTTTTTTTAATAATCTAAAGTTGACCAATTTGATTTCATTGCAAAACCTGGAGGGTGATGAAGATGTGTCGTTTCATGTCATGGGTTGTTGCATTTCAGAACCAGTGGGACTTGAGGGACTTTCACTTCCATACTGTGCTAAATAGTCATTTGTTCAAAAATATCCTGTGGCAAGAGATTACTGTGCTTTCCTCCCCTGGTGCTGATTTAGACCACGTGGTTACACAGCCCTGATCCAAGCCACATAAACCATTGAATCAGCTCAACTGATGAAGCAGAAAACTCCRACATGAGACAGGAACCTTCATAATAACATTTGTTTAAAAGGTTTCCTAATGGGAGACAATACTCCTAAAACCACAAGCTCTTTYGGAAAATCTATTAAATTTGTGTTTTTCAATCACAGAGCTGTTGAAAGTGCCAGCATGGTGCGTGTTTCTGTTTCCCAATCAGGTGGAAATGGCCCATGAAGCGTTCTATAAACACAGTGGGGACAAGAACATCAGCTTAGTTGCCTGATTTTTCAGCTGGGGTTAGTAGTCAGCAGCTTCTATTGCACTGATTGCTTTAATCTGGCTCTTGAATGCAAACATGCTTTGGTACTGATGACTTGTAAAACTCCAGGGTGGTCCTTAAAATACACCAAGAACAGTTATAGGGAGCTCAGACATCYTAGAATCACAGATCCACAGGGACYGAGTTAATTCCTCACTCCCATTCTRCACTGTRTTTTGAAGAACAGATTTKTTTTCTGAATTTTTGCTTTCTGAAGAGTATGTCCCTATTTTTGTTCTTKTGCTGACCARAACAACAAATTTGKTGCACCTCTGTGTATCAGTCACTTCCACATTGTTTTGTTTTAGCTTTTCAGCACAGTCTTTTGTGCTTCCTCTAACTAGCTGCAAGCAGGCACCTATGTCACTTCTATTGAGGAGAAAGGGGATGAACCTAAAAAAAATATAATAAATAAGAAGTATGACCCTATAATTAATCCTGTAAGTCAGTGGTGCTTCTGACTTACAYTCACAGTTATAAATCAGCCATCCCTGTTTATTTTTCTGAAATGGATCTCTGTTTTCTCTGTGCTCTCATCCATTTGCTTTTTCTAAACCTGATTCTCTAACAAATTCCTGTCTTGTGTCTTCTGGAGCCAACTAGATATTTCCTAGTCAATAATTATTTCATTGTTCTTTTAAAGCACCTTGTCTCTTCCTGATTTCTTGTTTATCCACTCCTAACTATCTCCTTTTGCTTTCATTCTGCATACTTAGGCAGAGTAGTACAGAACAGATGCATTGAGATATTAGAGAGAATTCATGAAGATAATACACACCACACCTGATTTACCCTTGTTTACTAATTAGTTAGAATCTCACTAATGATCTTCTGGGTTTGCTTTTAAAACCTTGTCTCTCTCATCCTGAGGCTTGGTGTAGGCACACGGATCCTTTAGGAGGCCACCAGGCCTCTAACCCATGGTCTGCTGAGAACCATCTGCTCTTTTCATGTGCCTTCCTACTGATACCAAAACAATTTCCATCTGACTGCCCTGTGCTTTGCACAAATAAAAACCTTTTGGGCCGCTGCTTCTAAAGTAGATTTACCTTCAATCACCATTTATTAAATCTCTGTCCATTAAAAACCATAGCTTGCAGAAGCTGTGTGCATTAAGCCTGATTACAGAGCCAGTGGAGAAGAGGGAGGGGGACAGCAGTTGCTRTCAGTGTATTGCCTTGTTTTTCTGCTTGGCTGGCTGCTGGTAACACTTGTGACAGGATCCATATCGGAACAGGACTCCCATCATTGCACTTTGGTTTTTATTTAAAATCAACTTTAACTTAATGATTGTTGGCTTCAGGAAAAAAGCTGCTCAGACTGAATGACTGAAATCAGGGTTTGCTTTGGTGCTGGGGTACYAGTTCCAGTATGGAGGGGATTAAGAAAGGAAAGTTCACAGGTTCCTTACGGAGGATGAGTGGCTCCTTCAAGCGCACTTCGTTTAAAGGCTCAGCATCTGGATCCCAGAAGGTAAGTCTGCAATWACCCAAATAGTGCAGCCTGAGGGAAACAGCTGGAGACACTGTTTGCCCCTCTTGCTTTTAACAGCTGGTGCTGTTATAAATGAAAACTATTCGCTTTCTCTCTGTGCTCGTTTAAGTTTCTGAGGTATCAGTTATGTTCATTGCACTGGTTCTAGCAATGAATCCTATTCTTGTTACTGGAGTTCTTTCATAAGTTCCTSTCTTAAGAATCTTTGGGTTAAATGTCACTGTGCAGGGCTAGCCTGTAATTATTCCTGTCCATAYGCAAAATCACATTTTAGATGCAGTAAATGCAAAGACTGGTAGGATGTATACAGGATTTTTATGTGATTCACTGAACTACAAGTGACAGATTCTATGAGAAATACAGTTCGTGGTTAGGATATTTGCTGTGTAGGTTATGAATGGAAAAGCAAGGCAGGGGAAAGAAGACATGAGTGATTGTTTTATAATGTAGGAGCTTACTGTAGTTTTCATAAGCTTACATGTAGTAAATGAATATAAGAATGCATTTTTCAGCCATTTTCAAGCTATTAAGGGAATTTATGTACATATTTTGTCCATAGATTGATAGATTTTTTTTTTTACATCAAATACAAACCAACTTCAGCTCAGGATTACTTAGATTCCCGCTCAGCTGGCCATTTTTAAACTGATTCCATTCAAAAATGAGAAATAGTTTTTGTCTACTCTTCGAACCCCTGCAACCCTCTTACCTCTGATTTCTGCTGGTTGTCATCACGGTTCTAAACCCAAATTTTATCTAAAGGGGTGAAAGGAAGTTTGAAGGAAAATAAACTGAGAGAAAAATGTCACACAGGCAACTAAGTATGTATTAGAATGTTTCCTTCTTTAAGAAAATTGTTCTATWCCATGTGCAGTATTGGTCATAGTCATCTGTGATTGCAGGAGTGTGTCTGGGTTTGGGGACTTCTTCAGTGGCCACTGATGGTTATGGGCTATCACCAGGTGAATTTCAAGTCCTATCTTGGTATAAAGTAATTTACAGTGATGGTTTTTGTATACTGACTGTGGACCTTTTTCCCTGCTAGAGGTTGTAATACCTGTAATACCAGCTCAATCACAGACATTGAGTGCTAACTGCAAAAAAAACCAAAGAGTGCTTCAGGTGTGATTTCCTTGGCACCAGGGCCAAGCCTGACCATTTGGRATTAAAACAGAAGGTGTTTGCAGTGGGTTGATTTTTTCCTCCCCTGATGAATGTAAAGCAAAGTGGCATCATGAACTCTCAGCTGATATTTAGCAAATGTTACATTGCCCATGCCTTGCCCAGTGGCTTCCTCTGAAGACAAACGAGGCTGTCCTCCAAGAATCCTGTGTTTCACAAATAGTTGTGTATTGCTTGCTTTGTCACTCAGATGACTCCAGTTTCATAGGCTGTGCTAGTATTAACTCTATTGATTGGATAATACAAAGAAATAATGATAAAGGAAGTTGGAAAGGRTTTCCCTTTTAAAATACACCCAAGCCTGCTTTGAGAGCATACAAAGCATACAGCATTTTACTTCTTGAATGGAATAAATTCAGAGTAAAATAACCAGGCAAAAATTGCTTAATTTTGTCACTAATCCAATGGAAAACACTAGTCAAGTGAAGGTAGAAGGAACACAATGCAGATTTTGTTTTTCTTGTCTTCTTATTATAAGAAAATGTTGTCTTGCAAAAGCTGAAAATTCCTTTCATGGCTTGCTTTTTTTAGTCTTCCTAATTCTTTTGGTGGTTATTTGCTTTAATGTTCCTTTCAGAAACAGAAACTTTACCTTTTATGGAAAAGAAATTATTAGAGTTGATTAAAAACCTAGAATTTTAGGCTCAGGGAATAGGCTGGGAGTTTTACTTGTGCCAGAAATTATCTGGGTTGGCTGTCTGAGGTCAGTAGCACACTGTCATCATCCAGGCAGGTGAAGAACTTGTCTCTCAGAGTCAGGACAGCTCCAAGCAGGAAACTGCACTGTTGTGCTTGAGAGTGTTTTGTATTGAATGTTAATTTTTGCTAATGATACAGCTGAAAACAGCAATTGAAAATGGTCTTGAGTGCATGTGCCTTGTA